CCTCAGATGTATTGGGGAAGATAAAAAGACACATTTGTTGAACAAATCATTTCTCAGCAGACAAATTCAGGTTTTGCCTATTGTAGCTTCTCTGTGTATTATGACCACAGAAAGTGAAATACAGCTAGATATTAATTTTTTTTGCTCTTTTCCGCCCTATTTTTTTTGTACTATCATTGGTTTAAAAGGCATTTGGATAATGTCCTTAACAAGATGCTTTAACTTACAGCCAGCCCTGAAGTGATCAGGCAGTTGGATTAGATCATCATTGTAGGGTCCTTCCAAATGAAATCTCTCCTCTCCTCTCCTCTCCTCTCCTCTCCTCTCCTCTCCTCTCCTCTCCTCTCCTCTCCTCTCCTCTCCTCTCCTCTCCTCTCCTCTCCTCTCCTCTCCTCTCCTCTCCTCTCCTCTCCTCTCCTCTCCTCTCCTCTCTTCTTTTCCCATCCCCGTCTGTGGCTGGGACTGTCCTGCAGGAATGAATTAATTGCAGGGACAGGAGTTGGGAGCTGCTTCCCTCTGGTATGAAGAGCTGTTTCAGCTCAAAATGTGAAAGGCCCAGTTTCAAGGTGATGGTGCCTATGTTGGGTTTGCGGGGCAATAGCAAATCCTCACCCAGATTACAGGGGAAATCAATGGGGTGCAGCTGTGGGGGAGAGCACTGCACAAGCCCAGGCTGCTGTAGGTGCCAAGCCCAGCCCAAAGCCGTGGTGAGGATGTGTTCAGACACAGAGCAGGGCAGGGACAGCCATGCCCAGTTCCCCCAGGACACCCCATTTGTGCATTATGGAGCTGCAGGAGGAGGGGTGCCTGTGGCAAGGCCCCTCTCCCCCTCACAGGGCAGCCTGCACCCGTGGCCGCGTATGTGTGCATGCAAAGCTTTGGAAATTTCCATTTTAATAAAAGTAACCTTGGAGGAGCATGAGCAATAACCTGTCTGTTCTTTGGCACTGACAGTTCAGTTGTCCTGACAAATGAGATTTTGCGAGGCCGGCGCAGCGCTGCCGTTATCAGCCCAGCTCACATCAGCGTGTGCTTTATTGGGACACAGCAGAAATTATTCCTCAGACATTAAACAACGTCTTGCTCCTGCTTTTATCAGCCAGATGTAATGATACATCAGATCCAGAGGTAAGCCCAATAAACTCCTGGATCTTTGGGCTCAGATGTTTGGGCCATCTACAAATGCTTTGAAATCTGGGAGTTCCTGTGTAGCCTTTCCTGCTCCTTCTGCCTCTTTCCAGTTTCCTAGACCTGACCCACATACTCTGTGTTATATTAAGGCAGGGGGACATGGATCAGTCTCCTGAGCTTAGCTTTTCTCAACTGAGGCTCCAGCCTCTGGTCCCTGCTCCAAAGGGATGGATCATTCCCCAGAGAAGGGTCACTGCAGCCACTTATGTGAGGGATGGTCTGTTCTGGCACTCCCATCCCTTCCGAGGTAAAATCAACATTGCACAGCCTTCATCTCCTCTCTTCATGTAGGCAGCTGCCAGTCCCAATACCCTGCTTGTACTCTGGATTTTGCTAACTTAGGACTTTTCCTCTCTGAAGGCATCAACAGATTCACCAGCTAGCACAGCTCTTCTAAACCGTCAGTGGATAATTTTTTTTCTGCTATTTCCACTTCTGCCATGGGACTGATGAGGGTGTTGGAGCTTGTGGATCAGCACAGCCCCAGGGGGTATGGCCAGTGGGCATCCTGGGAGCCTGGAGCAGGGCATGATCCCCTCCCCTTTCCTCCACCCAGGGCTGTCTGCCAGCATCACTTGGAGCATAGCTGGAGGAAAAGGTTTCAGGGATTCATTTGGACCTTTAACTCCTTTCCCCTTCTTCCCAGAGTATAAATTTTCAGCTGTACTCTAGAGAAGGAAATAATCTGCAGATGTTGGCTGTTCCCACCCCTTGACTCACCTAAGGAGCCAGTGACAGCTACTTGTGTCCTTGCCAGGTCCCCAAGGGGACTTGTCTTACTCACAACTTTGTATTTCAGTATTATTCTACCTCACAGTTGTCCAGGTACCTACAGAGCTGTGAATTGTCCCTTGAGCTGTCATGATAGAGAAATGTTTAATATATTATTTCCAACATATTATGCCCTTAGGGCTTGTAGAATTTCCTTTCAATAACTCAGCCTCCTGCTATCTAGGACAGTGCTGTGTGTAGGAGGCCACAAGGTAGAATGGGACAGGAAGGTGATTTTTCGTAAATAAATATTAAGAATCTGTGGCTGCCCCATCCCTGGAAGGGCTCAAGGCCAGGTTGGATGGGGCTTGGAGCAGCCTGGTCTAATGGAAAGTGTCCCTGCCCATGGCAGGGTTTGGAATGAAATGATCTTTAAAGTCCCTTCTAACACAACTGTTCTATGATTCTGTGATGGTTCTATGATGTCAAATAGGTGTACAACCACCTTAATGAACAAACCCATAGACCTGCCAGGTCTGTGGATGGCCAGCTCCTCTGCAGGGTGTCATTTACAGAATGGTTCTGGGCTCCATCCTGGCCCTGGTCCTTCTCTGCTGGTTCACAGCCTCTGGCTCAGCAGGGCCCTGCCCTGGGCACTGGGCTAGGCAGTGGTGCAGCATCCCCAAATCCCCAGTGTCCCTGCTCCAGGCAGCACTGAGCACACATCACACTGAAATGGCTGGGATTTTGCTTAAAGCTCACACAATGAGTCCCCAGGGGAAATTAAAGAAGCAAATTAACAGCAGCATCTTTTATTTTCATAATGCACTTAAAAGCACCAGATGCATATAATCTTTATTTTTGGCTCTCTAAACTTAGGCTTTCATATTAAATGGCAACTGGCACTTGGAAAACCCATACTTAATGCTCTACAGAGGGGAAAAAGTGTGGGCCAGATGCACTGAGTTTATTTTCTTTAGACCAGCTTGCACAGCTTTGGTGATACCAATTAATACAGATTTCTAGAACTGCACAGAAAACCAAACACCAGTGATGTTGCTGCCCAGCTGTGTTTGAACAGCAGTGCTCATCACCAGTACAGAGCCAGGACAGGGCTCCCTGGGTGGCAGCTGTGGCTGCAGAAGGGACATTTGCTGGGACACTGCAGGCCAGCAGAAGCTGGCTTGATTTGTGACTGATGGGGTACTTAGAGTTTCATTTTCCTCAAAACACCCGTTGAAAATAAAGTCATAGAATTAGAGAACCACAGAAAAAGGGTTCAAAAGGACCTGAAAGACCACCTAGTCCTAAGCTCCCCTGCCATGGGCAAGCAAGTCATGATTGTTGATTTCAAAGGGCAAAACTGCTGCTGGTCTCCCCATTCTGCCTGTGTGGATTTGGCATCACTCTTTGAAGCACAGAATCATAAAATATGGTAGGTACTAAACACTGTGGCATTGCTGCTCCTGGTAAGGTCTTTAATAAAGGGCTTTGTATCTCATTCCCTCCAACTGGAGAGGAAATGGTGCTGTGAACGGAGAGAGAAAAAATTGCACTGGGTGTTGCCTTCACACACAGTCATCGTTCTGGCTGAACAATTTTAACTGTTGATATGAAATCTTCATTTGAGTAAACTCTCAGCTAAATGTCAAACTGCAGCCATTCTCCCTGTAACTGTGCCTTTGAAAGCATTGTTATTAATATTACTGGTATTATTTTATGTGACTTTTATCTTGTGAACAGCTCATTTCTCCTTGAACAGTTCATTTCTCTATCTAACTCCAGAAGGAAAACTTCTTCATTTAACTTAAAAAAATTCCTTCTTGCTAAACATGGAGAAACAAAGGCAAAAAGTGGGGCAAATGTGTGGTGCCCTGAACACCAAATCACAATATGATAGCAGACATGGGTCAGTGGTTTTACCCAACTCATGTTCCTTGGGATAAAACTGCTCCTGACAGGGCTGCAGAGGGTGCACACAACTTGGAAAATGCTTAAGCTCTGTAAAGTAAGGGATAAGAAGAATATCTGCTGGCTAGAAAACCAGCTAAAAAAGCAAAGTTTTCTCTAGTGGAAGGGTTCTATAGGCAAGCTGCAAATGATGCTGCCCATCACCCCATGCCACACACTGAGACAATTATTTCCAATTTGTCAGGAGCTGCATTTTCTATTTTCCACTGGCAGGGCTTCATTTGCCACCTCTGCTGTAATTAACACAGGGGTAGAGCTCTGTGTCTGGATCTTCCCACGGCAGGGTGGCCGTGCCAGGTGTGTCCTGGGGGAGAACTGGTGGGGAACACATGGAGAGTGGACACGGATGTGGCAGGGTTGGAGCTGCCCCCTGCCTCTCCAGGCAGCTGGAGGCTCTAACTCTGCCTGCTCCATCCTCAGCAGCTGCTGCCACATGAGGCTCTAACTCTGCTCCATCCTCAGCAGCTGCTGCCATATGAGGTTCTAACTCTGCCTGCTCCATCCTCAGCAGCTGCTGCCATATGAGGGTCTAACTCTGCCTGCTCCATCCTCAGCAGCTGCTGCCACATGAGGCTCTAACTCTGCTCCATCCTCAGCAGCTGCTGCCACATGAGGGTCTAACTCTGCTCCATCCTCAGCAGCTGCTGCCACATGAGGCTCTAACTCTGCTCCATCCTCAGCAGCTGCTGCCATATGAGGGTCTAACTCTGCCTGCTCCATCCTCAGCAGCTGCTGCCATATGAGGGTCTAACTCTGCCTGCTCCATCCTCAGCAGCTGCTGCCACATGAGGCTCTAACTCTGCTCCATCCTCAGCAGCTGCTGCCACATGAGGCTCTAACTCTGCCTGCTCTTCCTATGAGGTTCTAACTCTGCTCCATTCTCAGCAGCTGCTGCCATATGAGGTTCTAACTCGGCTCCATCCTCAGCAGCTGCTGCCATATGAGATTCTAACTCTGCTCCATCCGCAGCAGCTGCTGCCATAAGAGGCTCCAGCTCCTTCCTCAGCAGCAAAGCCTCTCCCGTGACGCGGCCCCGGGGGTGGGACGGCAGGGATGGGATGGGTGGGAGGCGCCTGGAGGGGAAGGTGGCTGGGTAGAAAGGTGGCCGGGTTGGGAGGGGGCCGGCTGGGAGCAGAGCCCGGGAGCTCAGCAGCGTCCCTCGCACAGCCCCGAGGGGCACAGGGCAGCCCAGGTAAGTGTGGGAGCCAGCGCCGGTGGAGCGGACTCGGTCCGGGCGGGATGCCGCTCTCTCTCGCTGGCACACGGGCTCCTGTGCTGGAAAACCCAAAGCTCACTTTGTTTGCTGCCTTCACGGGGAGGGTTTAAAGGGGTTTATGGCGAGTTTAAAGCAGGTTTTACACTGCTGGTACAAAGTAGGGACGGATCAAGTAACCGCAGCATAAACAGCGTTTCAAAACTCCTCAGTCTTTCTAGGGAGCCACGGGTAAGTTTCGATTATCCTTGAAGGGAACAAGTCCGAGTGAATACTATTACCTTACAAGTTTCTAACGGCCTGATTCAGAAAACAGTCCTGTTTTCTGAATTAAAAAGTTAAAGAGAAGTTAAAAGAGAAATCCTTTCCTTCCTTTTCTTTACGCATTTTTAAAGTTAACTGGCCGCAATTCAAACAGCAAAAAAAAACACATAATGAAATAAATGGGGCAAATTCCAACAGCCAAAAGTGTAATGAAAGAAATGAGACAAATTCCTTGAACTGCATCCAACATGAAAATGAATCTCGGCTGCTCATTAGAGACTGCTGAGCAGGGGAGGTAGGCAAATCAAATCACAGGAAGTAGAGGGAGGAACAGAAAAAAGGGTCAATTATCGAAATCTCCTCTTATAAACTGCAAAACTTTTTTTTTTTCAAGATTGAAGGTAGTAAAAATATATTAGTGGCAAACAGCAAAGCTTCCTTATGCACTTAAAATAAAAAGCAAGGAGTCAGGCATAGCAAAGGAATGGGTAAACACAAAGTACATAATGGTGTTTTCAGGGTAGGTTAGTGGTGAGTAATTCCCATCCAAGGTACATCCAGGAGTTTCCTTCTTTACTGTCTCTGGAAAAATTCCCACTTGGATTCCCCAGGGTAATTCCGATGTTGTTGGGTGTTTGAGTGCTGCTCATCTGGGTTAAGGAGGGGTTGTCAGTCAGAGGCTGACAAAGTTTTTAAAGCTGTCCCATGTACTTGTTACCAGTGTTGTACCAGCTTGTTTTTCATTAGTGCTCTTTGAAATGCTCAGTTTTGCTATTTTTTCACTTGAAAGTATCCTTGCTGTCTGAGAAGGTGGGGAGCAGGGAGTGTACCAAAGCCAGTCTGCCTTGGAGGCACTATGGGTGGAAAATCAACCTTGGGACCTGCTCCAGAGGTCACCACTGGTCTTTGGGACTGCCACAATGAGAGCAATTATCAGCCATTGCTAATTGATTATGAGTTCTCAGCCGTTGCCAATGGCTCTGGTAGCAGCACTCACTGGAGGAGGTGAATTGTCACCAAGCTTCACTATGCCCCTTCCTGCAGGAGCCTTTGGGATCTGAGGGGATTTGGTCCATGGGCTGCAAAACCAAAACGTGTCACAACTTGGATTTTTGTCACAGGCAGGGAAGGAAAATGGGCAAAGCCAAGCAGCTGATGCTGTCATTGGAAAGGGGGCAGGAGAGGGATCTGGGCAGCTGCTCATCATGATGGCTGTCCCTCGAAATAGTTCCTAGAAATAGTCCTCCCTGCAGCAGACAGAGAATAAGATGATGGTCAGGCAATGTGGATCTATCAGGAAGAAATAGTTCCAAGCCCATCTTTCTGCAGATGTTCAGGGGAGAAGAAGATGGCACTGTTGTGTATGACGTTCTCATAAACAAGTGAGGAAGATGTGGCCTTGATGAGACAGGTATTGGGTGGGTGGAAAACTGGTTGCAGAGTCAGAAAATTTGTCAGTTCAGTGCCAGAAAGGGGGGCGATGGCAAATATGGACCTGAGCCTGTTGCTTTTGTTTCTGTTTATGGTGTTAAGGAGGAATGAGATTATTTGTGTTATTTGATGTGCAGCTGGGAGGGACTTGAGCACAGCAGAGGCCAGATTTATAATTCAAAGGACCAGAGGAGCCATCTGGGAAAAGCCCATGATTTGAATTCCAGTCATGCTGGTGAGTGAAGGCAGTGGGTGCAGGGTCTCAGTGGAGCCAGGGAAATCATCCCGGTTGTGCTGGGAGCCAGGAAAAGAAATGGCTGGGAGGGTTTTGTGCTGCACTTCAGCACCAATGGGGTTTGGCTGAAGACAGTCCAAAGGGAACTGTAAAAATAGCTAGAGGTGGCTGGGATGTAACCTCTGCAGGAAAGCCAGAGGGGGTGGTAAGAGGCACCAAGGAAATGCAGTGCATCCTTCAACATGGGGCCCCTGAGGAGGGAGAGGGTTCCCTCTTCTCCTTGCCAGGTAGGACAAGATGTGATGAACTTAAACTGCAGTTTAAGAGAGGATAAAGACATCTCTGTGCACTTTTTAAGGTACAGTCTGACACTTCCCCACTTGCCTTCCCCACTCTTGATTGCCTGTAAGCCTGGTTTAGCACAACAACTATTCCAGTAACTCACGTGGCTTTGGTGAATTAGCTACTTAACCCATGGGAATTGTACCATTATATTCAGAAGAACTAGAAAAATAAAGTGCGTTTATGAGGTTTTTATTGTTTTCACCCCACCATCAGCATTCCATTTAAGAACATCAAAAGATTAAAAAAACAGATAGAGACATCTGCCAGCGTCTCTGGAGATGAGTGTTGCACTTTCTTCTAATCCAGAGCCAGCCCTTGGAGCCTCTCCATGACTTCACAAAACAGAGGATTTTTTTTTTGTATTTAAGAACCATCTAAAGACCCTTTTACTGTGTTTAAACAGAGTCCTGTGTCAGCACAGTTAAAAAATGCTGGCACTTGCTCTGCACAGATTAAAGATGATAAATTACCCTTTGCTGCTTGAACCCCATTTGCAGTTTCTATTGCAAGGTTGTGCAACACTCCGAGGCAGTGGCAGGGCCAGGGATGTGGAGCAAAGTCCAGGTGCGGGCTGGATTTTCCCCTCCAGCACTTTTCATTCCTTCTCTAGCCCGGAGAGAAGAGCTGCAGGGAGCAGCCTGTCCCCTCCTGCAGCCTCCCAGCATGGCTTCACCCATGAGGAGTTTGCTGGCAGATCTTGACAGATACGTCCAGTCCTTCCGCGTCTTCCTGGAGCGGTCCACGGAGCACCAGAGCATGCAGGAGTTCGTGGAGAAGCACCTGCCAGATGTCATAGCCAGGTAACCCCAGCTTGGCCTGAAGGACAGCCAGGGCCACGGTCCCAGGGGGTGCTGGCCCTGGGGGGCTGCCTGGGAGAGGCAGATTGCTGCTCCCTGCCCTGTCTGCTGGCCTGTGATAGCTTCCATTTTGCACACATGGCTCTGGATGTTGGCTCTCCAGGATGGAGGCTGTCACAGACATGTTTTCTGAAAAATCCTTTTTTTTAGGATTTTTTCTCCTGAGAAGCCTCAGGAACAAAATGTAACCAATGGTTATCTGCTGCTGTGGAATGCAACAGGTGCATCTGGGATTGGTCTCATGTGGTTGTTTCTAATGAATGGTCAATCACAGCCCAGCTGGCTCAGACTCTCTGTCTGAGACACAAGCCTTTGTTATCATTCTTTCTTTTTCTATTCTTAGCCAGCCTTCTGATGAAATCCTTTCTTCTATTCTTTTAGTATAGTTTTAATATAATATATATAATAAAATAATAAATCAAGCCTTCTGAAACATGGAGTCAGATCCTCATCTCTTCCCTCATCCTGGGACCCCTGTGAACACCATCACAGGAGACTGCCTAGGCAGGGGGAGATAAGGCTGCATTGTTTCTTTGCACACAAAAACAGCTGGCCCTGAATCAGCTCTGAAATGCTGTAACAGATGATACCACATTCTAGCATCAAACTTGATGGAAAGCAGCTTTTTAAAAGCAAGCTTTTCAGGTAATATTTAGGGTTTGTCTAGGATGGCTGGATCGTGCTCCTGCTTTGCCTGCCAGTGTGTATCCTTTGCTGGACCCCTCACTTTGCAGGCTGGCTTGGGAGCAGGCAGCCAGCATCAAATCCTGGCTCTGGGGAGGCTCTTCTCAGGGCTTCATGGCTCTGCCAAAGCCTCACTGAGGGATTTTAGAAGCATTACACTCTCCCCTCTCCCTCCCCATTTTGCATAATGCAAAAGTTCTACAAATAATTTTTAGGTTGCTGGTCCAGACCCAGAGGGCTCTGTTCCTCAGAGCACAGACACAGAGAAGGTGTGTACTTGCTTTTGCTTGTATTCATTCATAATAAAAGCAAAATGCTACCTCTGCAAATTGCCAAAATAATTGGAAAACATGAATGTCCCAAGGGGAAGAGTTCTGAATCTGATCCCTCCTGCCCACTCACAGACATGCCTGTGTACACACATATTACATTTGGATTTTGCCCTGCAAATTTTAGTCTTAATGGGATCTCCAGTGTCTTACATCATGCATGGAACCCTCTTTACTGGACAGCTCTCCTAAAATGTATAAATAATGTTTTTCAGTATTGGAAATGGGAAGTCTGCAATCAATGTTCTAAGTGTTGGTGGTGGAGCAGGTACGTATGGACTTCAATATTGGTATACTTTTTCCTTCATTTTTTTCCTTAAGAATAGAGGACTAAAAGTTGCAAAAGGAGCAGAATGAGAAATAAGTCTTTCCTTGATAAGCCAGCTCCAGGGGACAGGTGGTGTTAGCTGGTGTGTGACCACATCATCTGAAAACAGCTTGTGCCTCCCCACTCTGATTCCTCTCCGTCCTCCACAAAAACCTCTCCTTCTACAGCATCCCTCCTCAAAGGCAGAGAGAAGCTTTAACCAATCCACAGGGTTTCTATACAAAACCAACACAAGACAAAACAAAACAAAGGCAGCAAAAAAAAATGCACCCAAACCCCAAACAAAATAATGTCTGAGATTCCTGAGAATATTGCATTTTAACCTGCATTACAATATTCTCCCCTGTACCTTTATTGAGGTGATAACTCCCACCACTGCTGTGTAAGAGCCATGGCTGAGCTCTGCTTTGGCTGTATTTGCTGACCACCATCAGTGTCCAGGTTTCTGCTGGAGCTACTGTCCCCCAAAACAGTGGGGCTGAGCATGAGCTCCAGAAGAAATACAAATAAGTCTTTTGTCTGACATTCACTGAGTGTAAAAACAATACCAGTAAGATCAAGTAGCTTTTCATTAAGTTCTTGCTTAAGTGGCCCCATAATTAAAACCTATGTTTCCTTCTCTGTCCATTAAGTCGCCACACTTAAATTTTATATGAACAGTTAAATCTAGTTTAAATGCTGCAATCATACCATCACCAAAGACTAACCTCAGTTTTGTTAGTGTCTCCTCCATAAAGTAATTGTATGTAAATGGAAAGTAATTGTATGTAAATGGTTGGCATTAGCTATAAAACAGACAGTGTGACAGAGCAGGAACATTGCTCTCCAAAGGAAAGCATTCCTCTGGAAAAAAAAAAAAAAAAGAAAGAAAAGAGAGAAAGAAAGAGAGAAAGAAAGAAAGAAAGAACGAACACAGTGCGGTTCTTCATCCTGGCCAGAGACAGTCCAGCTTGCCATCAATCAATAATGGGTAGGCAAAGCTCACTTCGTGATCTAAAAATCCCCAGATCACCCAACCCATCTGCTCACTGGTTTGCTCTCAGCATGGCCGTTGTGAGGCCAGGAGGGATCCGATCCCCAAATCCCCCCTTAGAGCTGATCCCGGCTGCTGTGGGAGGGCAGTGATGGAGCTGCTGCCCCGACCCCACCTGCCCCTGCTCTTCTCAGGAAGGAGGCACAGAAAAAAAGCATTTCCTCTCTGCTTTTCCACCTCGGGAGGCAAGAACCCATTAATGCAGCATCCCATCCCATTAGATCCCATCCCATTAGATCCCATCCCATTCCAGCCGCCCGAACACCGCTGCCTTATTAAGTTCACACTCCGGCGCGCTGCTCTCTGTACCTTTAAAAACCATCAAAGGCATCAGCGCTGCTCTAAAGTAGCAACTGGGCTATAAACTATCCCTTTACGTAAAATGTTTAATTAGAAACTTAATGGCGAACATAGTGGTAGCCTTTAAAAGGTAATTGTGTTGGAGAGTTTAAATAATTCGGATAGCCTAATTGCCAAATTGTTGATAATGCAAGCTGCCACCGATCTGAGTGTAAAATGCCTCGGGACACTTGTTTGCATATAAAAGAGCTAAAAGTGAAGTCATTTAAGGCTGTGGATTAAATTATGAATCAAAGGGGTGGGTTTTTTGGTTAAAAGCAGTACAAGGGTGATTTGGCCACACAAGAACAGAAGGGAATATTTTGACCTATCTGCATATGGAAATACAAAATTAATTTATTTTTTTTATCAGGACCTGCACAGCCTTTTCGAAGGACTAATCATTTTATGGGAAGTTGGTAAAGCAACCAAAAATCAAACTATTGCAGTGGTTAATTTCAAATTCTGTGTTCCCAAATTTTACCATGGCAGACTACAGAGTATAAGGCTTGCAGCGATAGCAAAGCTGCAGCTGTTTCTGCAGCTCAGAAATTCAATTTCCCTCCCTCAAAGAACGTGCTTCCAGAGATGCCATGTGAATGTTGGTATTGCTGGTTGCTTTAAGAAAGAGATGTAAGTCTGACAAAATGCAACTCTTCCTCACTTTGTGTGTTATATCCTCTGGGCACTAATGAGCAATTTAGTGCCCGGTGTTTTCCTTTTGTTCCTCGAATATTCTGCACGATGGGGCTAATGCTGAAGTGGTGGGAGTCCAGGTTGTGCAGCTCCTCCTTCCACAGCCCCTCAGCAAGGGCGTGTCTGGCCATCAGGGTGGCCTTCCATTCAGTGCAAAACTTTGTTCATTTGTAGGGAATTTTATAACATGGAGTTTTGTGCAAGCACAAGTAAATCTTCCAGGACAAAGCTAGATATTTACTTGTAACACGACCCCTGGACCTATTATTCACTGTAGTTACCCTCTGTTTCATTCTTTCTTACCTTCATTTATTCTGCTGTTATTTTTTCCACCTAAAATCTATCCAAGCACAATAAGCAGAGGTTGGAGAAAGTTGAGCAAGCCAGCTGGATATTGTCCCTGGACTCATGCCTCAGTCAGAAATATCATCCTCCTGAGTTTCCTCCACTGCAGATGGGGTGAGATGGCTGAGAATGATGGAGCTATTTTTAAATTTTGAAATCTTGGATCTACCAGTACATCCATCAATAAAACAATTACAGCTGGCCTGAACAGTGTTTAGAGAGAGCTCTTCCTCAACAGAAACATGAAACACAGGAATCTCTGGGGTATTCTGTAAACAAGGGTTAGCTAAACACAAATGGTATGTGCTCCATTCATCATTCTTTTGGGAAAAGTCACAGGACACTGAAGACAAACAGATATGAGTATTGTCTCTGATCCCAGTGTAAACACATATTCCCTTTCCCTCCTCCACATGACCTTGCAACCAGTGAGGTGCCTGGCTAAAAATGCTCCTACTGACTCCTAAGCAATCCTGCCAAGTTTGCTGGAGCCATCAGAACTGGCACCATGAGAGGATCTCATGGTAGGATCTCCCCCTCGAGCTTAGACCACGTCCAGAAAAAGAGAAGTCAAGCTTGACTGTGTCAGGTTTTCCCTTGGCCCTGGTGGTGCCAGTCAGAGGGGAGAAATGAGGAGAGTTGGGACTGATATTTACATTTTCCTCAAATCCTAGAGCTCAATCTTCAGTTACAACCTACTGAGAGTGCAGAGCAGCTGCTTGGCCCTGTGTGGTGCACCCGTCCATAAATGGCAGAAATCAATCTGCCAAACTGGGGATGTGATGGTGGTGGAGATCTCCTTTGCCTGAGCTTTGTTTTCATTCTCTGTTTTGTGTCTCCTGCTTCTTTAGGTGAGATGGACTTGCAGATCCTCTCAAAAATACGAGCCAGATATCCTGGGGTCACCATCAACAATGATGTGATAGAGCCAAGTGCTGACCAAATCTCCAAGTACAAAGGTATTTTTACATTAAATAAATTATAAATTTAATTTATTGAATTAATTAATTATTTTACATGCATTAAAAAGTGTTGAAAGGTGGATGACCCTATGTTCAAATGCCTTCTTGTCAGAACTGTCTCTTAAAAGTTAAAAAAAATTCAAAATTTCATGCTTTTTTGCAATCATTTCTTCTCAACAATGTTCACTCTCATTGAAATCTTAGTCTCACACTGCAAAGATCTCTCAATGGCAAATGCTTGGCTAGATAGACTTTAAAAGCTAAACAGGGTGGGAAGTGATGGGAGTATGGGAATGGAGTGAAATCCCAGGTTTTCAGACAGTCTTTCTACTTCAACTTGTGTGGAATCAGGATCCTTCCTCAGCATCAAAGGGAAAATTTTAGTGTCTCATGGTGATTCTCTCACATCTTAAAAATCGTTTCCGAGAAATACCTAAAGCTCACAGTGGGGCACTAAATTAGTAACCAGGCTTTGAATTAGAAAACACAAGAAGGAAAGCAGGAGTGATAGGAAAGGCTTTTGCCCTGTGCTCTGGGGCTCAGAGCTTCTTTCCTTCCCCCAGCCCAAAGGTCTAAGCAGCATTCATGGAGGAAAATGGAACATTTTCCGAGGAGGACTGAGTGTTAACGAGGGTACTTTGACCAAATTGCCCTACAAAGTGAGCATTAAACAGCAACGCAGGGTTTGATTATCACTGGATTAGAGCCCACCAGGATTCACCTCCTGGTGGTGTTGAGGGAGGTGACACCAGCCCTGAGCAGAGCTCACCTGGCCAGAGAGCCATCCTGAATGGATGTGACAGCAAGGAATGAAGCATTTCCATTTGGAGCTGGAAACGCTCCAAATGATGGTAAATACCAGGCTGTGAAACCACACTGTAAATCTCCAGTCTTGTTCTTGCTCAGGTCCTTAAAAATGAAGCATTCCCAGTGTGAATCAGCTTGTGGAAATCAAAGGGGAAAAAAGCAGCAATCCCTTTCTCCCTGCAGTGAGGTAGCTCAGAATCACTGGAAGCACCAAAGGCTCCCAGGACAAACCTAATTTTTTATATCTTTCTCAATTTAACACAGACCTGATCTTTTAAAAGATGCCTTGTTCAAAATCCCCAGTGCTCTTATATTCCTGCAGGCTGAAGTGGTGAAGGGTGGGCAACACAGCATCTTCTCTGTTTGTGCACTTGAACAAAGAATTTCTGTCCTGTCTGGGCTACAATGGCTGGATTTGCACTGAATCTTCCCAGTGGTCCCACCATCTACCACCAATTAACTGGCAGTCCCATCCTACTGCAGCGAGTTTCTTTCCAGAAGAAAATTAAAGAAAATATAAAATGTTGTCCTTATTTTAAGTTTTATGCTAAACTAGAAATGAAATATTCATCTGAATTTCTTTCTTTAAACTCTCTTATTTGGTAATTAATCATGTCCCCAGTAGCTACCATTAATTAGGTTTCTGAGGCCTAAGATTTTCTGTAGAGAATTAGAAAGATTATCTGCACCTCTGAGGATTCAGTAGTTGCATTTTCTGCCTCACCAAATGCTTTCTCCATGGGAAGGAGAAGCCAAGCTCACGAGAGAAACTCCTTGCTGGGATGTGCAGTGATGAGAAACTCAGGTTAGGCTGTGGCATGTGATGGAGGCTTTCCTCAAAGCTTCATGGGCAGGCTGTGCCCTTCCCTCACTCCAGGTGGATTCCCTTGGTGGCCATGGTTGGAGTGTTGGTGGCCCCACAGCTGGGCTCCATCACCAGCACAGCTGCAGCAGCCCAGTTCTGATGGCACCCAACAGCTTCTGGCTGGGAAAAGAACCTGGGGTGAGCCCAGGGGAAAAGGAAGGAAAACTTTTCATAATGGATTCAGATGAATATTTAGGCAGAAATTTACCACAATCCCATAACGAATTTGCACTTCCTCGAGTTTGGACTTTGAAGGCCCAGCCTGGAAAGCAATTCAGTTTTCTTCCCAGCTTCTCCTTGCAGACAGACCCACAATTAAACTGAACCAGATTGCCCTGGATTATTGGTGAGGGGATAAGAGCTGCTCCTGAGCTTAGAGCAGCAAATCAAATCTGAACTGCCAGTGCTGGGGCCAGTGGCTGATAAATGGAAGCTAACAGAGTAACAGTGGCAGCATCTGAAAGGGGTGGCCCATTTCCAGGCACAGAAGAGAGGAGATAAGCACTGATGGAGCATTTCTCATCTGCCTGACGGGGACGTGTCCAAATCAGAGCCCAAAGGGAGGAACATTGTCATTAGTGCTGTAGAGGCACTGGTCTTAGCTAACAGTGCTGTTCTGAGCATGTGTTCTGTAGCTAAGGCTCAGCCTGCCTTTGGGCCATGTAAGTTTTAAATTGATGCTAACTCCAGTGAAGCACAGGAACTGAATCAGGGGCTGCTTTGGCCTGGAGCAATCCTGAGCAGCAGCACAGTGAGAGGAGCTCCATATGCCAGCAGATGGACATTAGTATTCCCTACATTATGAAATTACCTCTCAGTTTTGCTCCCATAAAAACAAAGGGAATGCAGTGATGAGCCAGGCCCTCAGTGTAACTTATTGTTTGAATCCACTTCTCCAAATTTCTGTTTTCCTCAGCTGCTGATGTGCATTGTAGTGAGGTCTGAAGACACTCCATGCGTCACTCCTCAAAGCTCTTTGCTTTAAAACACTGACATCCATTTTTCCTGAGGCATTTGGTGAGAACTGTGAGCTTCTGAAAAATTGGTTCAACACAGAAGCCACTGAATGTCAAGAGAAGGGTCCTTGCTTTTGGAACAAAGCTCCTTCCCTCTCCTGCCATCCCAGTTACACAAATTTAGAAGAACACATTTGCTCTTTCTGCCCTTCTCAAACTTTCAATTGTGCTTCTCTTCTCAAGAAACCCCTGCTTTGATCCATCCTTGAGCACCTGTTTTTATTTGGAGAAAATCCTCCACCATGGCCTGACTCCTGCTCAGCCATGGGGGTTTGTGTGCCCCCCACATAAGTGCTGGGGCTATCAATCCTCCTATTCACCATGAAATGTGCTGCTGGTGGCCTCATAACAATTCACCCCAATCACCATCTTTTAATTCAGCTTGAGCCAATCATGGGGAAGAAATTACTTCTATTACTTCTATTTTTTTTTTAGCTCAGGTAAACACCAGAAGAGCCTAAATGAGGGAGCAAAGGGAAAAGCAACAGACTCTTAAGATTTTGTCCTGTAAATCCCTCTACAGCCTTCTCCTGACATATGGGCTAAAAGTTTAAGATATTCCACTGTTGTGTTAAACTGGTACCAAGACTCTCTACCTAAATAGGGCTTCTGGATGTATTAAAGCTCTGAGTGAAAATCAGCCCCATATTTGCAATTATAAACTCCGCCCTGCCTTCTCCTCTGTTTCAGAGCATGTGGCTCAGGCATCAAACCTCGAGAACATAAAGTTTACCTGGCACAAGGAGACAGCTAATGAATATGAAAGTCGAATGAATGCAGAAAAGAAGACTAAAAAATGGGACTTCATTCACATGATCCAGGTAAGAGTGTCTGCAAAGAAAATGCTGCCAAAGACTCAGCTGTTAAAAGTATGCATGAAGTATGTGACCTCATTATCCACTTGTAGGGGAAGAAAGGTGAGTTTACTTCCCAGTAATTTGAAGTGCTTTAGCATAAATGAACTGCAAAAATGAAAAGCAGCTTTGAGCACAGTAGTCCTATTAACCAGGCTGTGGGTGGCAGTCAACTAAGAATACATTTTAGCTGGTGTCTTCAAAAGCTCCTCGTCCTTTCCATGAAATTGCCTTTGTATTTCCAAAGCCTTCACTGAAGAAAGGCAAATCTCTTCCTCTCAGGTTGATGAATAACGTGGGCTCAGACCTGGCAGTGCCAGAGAGCAGGCAGGGCATGACAGCCCTGAGCCTGCAGTGGGAGCCCACTGCCCACACCTTCCTAAGGTGCCTTGTTGCCCCTGCTTTTCTGCAGGATTGCTCCCATTTGGTTCCTTTTAACGGTGTTATAATAGTCACCAGGATGGCACTGCACATCTCTAAGCATCTCTGCTTCTTCCAGATGCTCTATTATGTGAAAGATATCCCAGCAACCATCCGGTACTTCCACAGCCTCCTGGACTCACAGGCCAAGCTCCTCATCATCCTGGTGTCAGGTGAGAGCGGCTCCCCCAGCCCTGCTCAGTCAGGAGAGGGCTCTGAGGACCTTTGGGGCTCCTGTGTGTAGCACAGGCCACAGAGGGGAGCAGACATCCCCTGAAATCTGCCCACTCACTGCCTGTGTCTGCGTAGATTTATCAGCCAAAACCCCACATCATGGGCACAAAGCATCCCTCACTGCCTTCCCCACCTTACAGCCTGCCCAGTGATGGATGGCAGCAGGGGCCCTGCAGCAGGAGAGGCTCCATCCTGCAGCTCTCACTCACAGGAGCCCCTTCAGCCTCTGCTGTGTGCTGGGAAAGGTTTTCCAGGCTGGGCACTGCATTTTCTCTCTCCCAGAGACTCGTGGCATTAAGCAAATGGCGGTGGGGGGCTCGGAAGGGCCATACAGCAGGTGTTGGAGCACATATGGTTCATTTTCTTTTCAAACTGCCCATTTCCTTAATATCATCATTTTGGGTACCAAACAGCGTTCTCAGGCTGTTTCAGATCTCGCAGAGATGCTCTGTGGTCAATCCAGCAGGAAAGTGTTGGAGCAGAGTAAACAACAACCTTTTAATGCTGTGGGCAAGGTATGCCAGAGACAGTGCAGTGGTGGAGTCTAATTTGACTCTAGAAAGCCTTTAATTTGCCTCAAAAGCTATGGAAATTTCAGCTGTGTAAACAGTCACATCTAGCAACTCTGAAAGCCATGTTAAGCATTATTGGCTCAGAGGTTTAAGCTTAACTTCTCATTGAATTTGGCCACCTCTGCAAACGTGATGAAGTTCCTTTTATTTTGTTCATGAAGGATCCACTATGAAGGGACACTTCTGACCTGAATTTATTCAACTACTTTTTTTTCCCCAAATGATTTTGGTTTGAAGTGTTTTCAAGCAGTTTACAACAAGAAATCTGTGTTTGAAATGAGTTTAAAAAACCTGTTTGTGTTCTTTGGCTGAACAAGAATAGATCACAATATCAGACTATTGCTGATTACCTGAATATAGTTAATTAAAACTCTTTTCCAGTTACTTAACCTGTCCCTTTGGATATTCATAAAATGTGAATACAGGAAAGAATGTGTGCCTATTCAAAATTAAAATTATTAAAGTTCTGAGTTCATGAAAAGTATTTGAAGTCCTCTCTGAGCCAGATGACAGTGTTTTCTGATGGAGCAGAAATGGCTGGGGGCAACAAAAAAGTGAGGTAGAGGAGCAGGACTCAGAACAGCAGAAAGGAAAAGAAGGGGAAACCCTTGAGGAAAATAAGAGAATAGAGAGGAGAAAGAAGAAATGCCATTAAAATGAGCAGTGAAGGAAAAGGAGTCACTGAAAGATCACCAGAACAGAGCTCATTTCACACAGAAGGCAATGCCATCCCCAACACAAGCACACCAGGTAGTTCAAAGCCAGCCTGGGAGCGGGGCTGGCCGGAGAGGGCTGGGGTCACTCGTGGCAATCCCGATGTGCAGGGGCTGTGCCTCTGCTGCAAAACAAAAGCAGAGCCCTATGCTGATCCTTGGAGAGCCATCCTGGGAATGCTGGTTCAGGGAGGGGATAATTGCTCGGCTCCGAGAGGGCCCCGAGTCCCAGCACACTAACACCAGCGCATTTCCTGCAATTGGCGCTCGCCGCTCAGTTTCCACCGGGTGAAAGAAAATATTGTAGCCTCTCTTCTAAACAGCAAACTGTTTATTTGACTATAAATAACTGTTTGCAGATCAAGCAACTGCAAAACCACGAGTAACTGGTTTTAGTACCTAGGGAGAATTGTTGTTGAACTGCTCATCAGGCTCAAAGTTATTTTCATCCTGTCCAGTCATTCTGAGTAATCCTTCTAAAAATTATTTACAGTGGTAATACCAAATCAGAGATCCAGGCTGGGGGAAAATAAAGACGTGAAGATGTATGCGGGGATTTTTCAACTTAGCCAGCTAGTTTGCTTTATAAAATGTCTCTTGAGAAGAGGTACACAAGTGTGAGCTGCTCTGGCCTCAGCTGGAGGCTCAAGGAGGGTGCTGGAGCTCCAGGGTAGGTGCCCACCCACTCCTGCAGCCCCCAAACCTGCAGGGAAGCAGCCCACTGTGCCCCAGGACATGTCCCAGCTCTGGAAAGATCCCACTTGCAATGATGACAACTGCTAAAAAGCCCAGACAATCAAAACTCCTTTCAAATAGTGTTTTTCCTTAACTCTGAGTGTTTTTCTGGTGGTTTATCTCTCAGGAAAGAGTGGCTGGGAAACGCTGTGGAAGAAGTATGGGCCTTCCTTCCCCCTGGAGGATCTTTGCTCCTATGTTTCCTCTGGTGATTTGCCCAGGATGCTGGATTCAGCTGGGCTGAAGTACCAGCTCTATGAGCTGCCATCCCACATGGACATAACCAGCTGCTTTAGTGAAGGGGACAAAGATGGGGAGCTCTTGCTGGATTTCCTGACAGAAACACTTGACTTTGCTAAAACTGCCCCTCCTGAGCTAAAGCAACAGGTAATGGAGGAGTTGAGAAAGCCTGGCTGCAGTGAAATCAGAGATGGGAAGGTGTTTTTCAATAACAGCCTGGGTGTAATAGTGGTTGAGCCATGAGTTAACCTCTTCTTCTTGATTCAAAGCAAAGAGATACAAACTGTTGACAGCTGAAATGTATTTTTTCATCTTTAATAAATGGCTTCATTTACTTCAGCACTGATAATAACTTTTGGAGCTTGTTAAGAAATCAGTATTGACATCTGTTGTTTTACGTGAGCTTTAATACTTGATTAATTCTGCACTAATCTATGACTGTGCAACTGACTAGGCAGCAAATTGTGCTTTATCATACAGATGTTGTGGAATCAGCTATAACTCAGGCCATCCACTCAGGCACTGCAGGAACCTAAGGAATTATTCCTTAGGAATAGTTATTCCCAAGGAATAATCCAGAGCTACATGTGCATCCACCATCTTCATTTGAAAACTCTCTGCAGACTAAACAAGCAAATTGCAGTTTCTTGGTGCAGCTGGCAGGCACAGAATCACCAGCCATTGGACGGACCTTTGATGGGATTTCTTGAGCTTGTGACTTCCAGATCTGACAGCTGCAGCTACTGAAGGTGTATTCACACCTGCATGTTCAGTGTCTGCCTGCTCCTGCCTCTGCAGGCATCTCCATTCAATGGCACTGCTCCCCCTTTCTGTGTTTTTACTCTAAGATGTGTCTGCTGAACAAGTTGTGTGGCACTACAGGAGGGAAGCAAGGGAAGATGGCTGAGGCACAGGGTTGGTAACAAATGTCCTGGAGAGGTGGAAAGCAGTGGTGAGCCCTGATGCAGAGTCTTTGTTGGGAATGAGCTGCTGCAGCTGCACAGAGCTTTTTTTGTGTTTTTAATTAACCACACAATGCTTCTGGTCCCAGCCTTCCCCTGGCCTGTGAGCTTTGTAATAAGGAAAATGTAAAAATAAACTCTTGATACCAAAATGACTGCTGTCAGAGTTTATTTTCCAGTAGCATTTTTTTTTTTCATTTTCAATGGCATTGTGTCAGGTAAATCTATTCACTCTACAAGGTATTCAGCAAGAAGGGGGTTTCACCTCCTCAGCCTCTTCTCCATGTGAGGCTGTTGTGGTTGATGCATTTGTTTTGCTAAATGATTTTATAGTTTTCAGAAGTGTTTTCTCTCTACAAGGCACAATACGTAGTGGGATACAATAGAGTCGCTTGAATGGATTTAACAGCCTGAATACTCGATTTATCCCCTGAGACAGGTGTGATTTCTGCCATTGAAATAATTTGATTCAGTGTTGAAATGGTTTACTTTAGGTAATACTTTAGCTGCAAGGAATTGTGTTTATATTTGCACGCACATTTCTGATACAATATAGATTATTAATCATTTGAAGTGATTTCAAGAGATCATATTGGGCGTAATAGCTGTTTATATTTATTTTAGGGCAAGTTATTTGAAACACAAACATCTCCTGGTGCTCAAATGTTAATTCAGGTGGAGTTTAGAACATTTTCATGATAATCCTCTGTTGGACAGAACAAAATTTATTACCACTTTACCCAGTTCTGTGCACAGGCTCCTGCATTAGGAGACCTCAGTGTATCTGTGAGCTGCTGTGGTCACATGCCAGAGCAGGAATGAAAGAAAATCTCCCATTAGAACAGATTGCTGCACACATTTCTAATGGCAAACAAATTAAAGTTACATTTATTTTCGTGGCTCTTTTGGGCTGTCAGTGACCTTTTCTAAATGGGGCTTGCAAAGCAGGTGACTGCTGAATATTGCCACATCAACCCTGTCAGGGGTGAGATATCTCAGGGAGCCACAGAAATGCCAGAACGAAACCAAAAAAACACTAATCCAGCAACAAAACCCAGCAATAAGATGCCCTTGAAGATCCTGCTGTTTTATTGTTTATCAGACTTTAAAAAAAAAACCCCAAAAAAAAATGAGAAAAAGGGGTTTGGTCTGAAAATGTGGAAGAGAGCTGGAAAGATGAGAAGCAGCAGAGCTGATCTGGAGAGAACAGAGGAGGATTTGACCACACACACACACACACACAAATATTCAGTGTGGATGCACAGAGAGCTTCTTCCCCTGTTTTGCTTCTAAGAATTTCATTAAAAACTGGGAGGGGGAAAATACAGTAAACTCCATTTTGTATCTTGCAACTGCTTGTGTTAAGGGGCTGGGGGAAAACTGAATCAGCAGAGCACCCTTAAGGGGCAAATTAGTTTTAATTTTAAATTTGTAACACACACGTTTTCAAGAAGCAAGCACTTTAAGTATTTTTAGAAGGAAATGAATGTGGGGAAGCACAATTTTATGCTCATTTTACCATAAAAAACGAAGGACATTTTGTAAATCTCTCAAACAACTTCCTAATAGAGTGGAGAACCACATTTTCATGTGAGAATCACCCTAAATTGTACAGTGAGACACTGCTATTCCACAGCAGGGTTGGGAAGTACAGTTTGTCCATGGACTGGGATTTGCACAGCAGTCTGTGCCAGGGCCTCATCCCTTCCCCAATTCCATGTTTTCCTGGCTTGCACCCCTAAAAAATGAATCTGTGGGCTTTCTACAGTGGTTCATTGAGAGTAATGATATTAAACCAGCACAATACTGATTGGATCAAGTTTGGCTTCAGGACACCTGTATTAAAAATATACCAGAAATGATCCTGAAAGCTCTTCGTGCATTGGTGCCTCTTTCTGGCTAAATACACGTTTGAGATATGAAATGTGACCCTGGGTAAGTGCAATCCTTAATATTGCATCCCCATGTTTTTCTCAAGGATGGCTCTGAGCAGTGCTTGTTTTTAAATTGGAGACTTTCCTTTTTCTTTTCATTTCATGAGCACATAAACCTGGAATAAACATTCTAATGCAGGTACAGGAGGAAAAAAAGCTGGAAGGAGGGAGGGAGGAGGAGGAAGAAGAGGGAGTCTTTTGAAACAACAGGCAAACACCTGGGCCTGTGTCCCTGTGATAAGTAAAGGAGAGCTTGTGGCTCTGCTGCTGTGTCAGGTGATTGTTTCCCAAAGGAATTCCCGTGGCAGGTTTGCTGTGCAGGGAGGGGAACAGCCCCATGTCCAGCAGTGAGGCACAGCTTTGGAGCGATGCCTCAAGGGCTGGGGGCAGCCACAATGGGGCTGAGCCCCTCCAAAGGGCCCAGGCTTCATGCACGGGTCCCTCCACATCAAACACATCTGCCCAAGCAGCTTCAGGGCTGTTCCTTTAAATCATACACAGGAAAATCTTCTCACTGCTCCGTTAATTACTCCAGCAAATTGAACAAATGCACTCACAGCTCGGCTGCTGTCTCCACTCCTGCATTGGGGTAATTCATGCTTGCAGCCCATGATAGGATTTTTAATGTCATTACACAGTAGGGCAAAGTCTTCATTTTTAATAAAAATACAAATGCTGAAATGAAACAGATTAATATCTAATTTTACATCTTCATTTACATGATGTGCAAAATTATCTTAAATATTTGTTATGGATGGAGTGGCTTTCCACCAATTTAGGCTTCTTTTTTTTTTTCATACTGGAGAATGTTAACAGAAATTGTAGCATAAATCATTGCCTTGTAGAGTACCAGAAGGTGCATATAAAAACCCATATCTTTACTGCACATATTTCCCATTAACCATAATCTATTAGTAATTGAAGTTCATTACAAATTCTTGTAGACTTTATTGCTATCATGCTGCATGACATGGTGAACCTGGCTTGCATAACAAGAAGTCCTTGCTGGGAAATATCCTATTAACAATGACAGTGCATTTGTCATTGTGATAATAAATCCAAAGCTGCCTGTAGATTATAAATTATTGCAGCGCCATTTCCACTGTTGTACTTTAAAAGTTTTGTCAGCACTTCCATTTTTCCCCCTCTTTATGGGCAGTTATAACTTGACCATAAGAATCTGCAGTGAGCTGAATCCCATCTCACAAAGTCTCACTCTCAGAGAGTGTTTCTTCCCCCAGTGAGATTCATATTTCAGCCACATGAAAACCTTGGAGGCAGAAGCTGTGTTTGTGACAGATTTTCAGGTTCTGCATTTGCACAGATTTTAATTGGAAAGCCCAGGCCACTTGACAAGTAATTTGTCCATGATATTTCTAAAGATTGTGGTAAAATTAAAAGAATTCAGCGAGACAAAAAGACGGGAGCTCGGCTGAGCTGAATGCTCGCTGGTTCAGCACCTGAAAGAGCTTCTGTCCTTATCTCCAGGTGCCAGAGACTTTGGGGAGCCATTGGGTAAACCCTGCTTCTCTTCAGAGGAGAAACTGGAGAGAAGTGATTCTCCCCATAGGCCTCACAAAGGTGTTTAGAGGATTAATTACTAACGCAGAAATCCAGGCATGCACTCAAGCCATCCTTCTCCACGTCTGCGCAATTCTTTCCTGTGTAAGTTTTAAGTGTTATTAAAAGAAAATTGCTATAGAGTTGAACTTTAAGTGTTAATTATGACTCAAGATATAAATGACATCAGGTCAAATCATTCACAATTTAACTCCCTAATTGACTTCAGCTCTCTGCACCAAGGGATATCTCTCTAGCTGAATGCATCTGTCTATCACATTTCTCAAGTGCCTATAGCAATGCATCCAATTAGCTGGACGTAGCCATTATGCCTCAACAACTCCTAAATAGAGCAGGATGAAGCCTTCATCTCCCTGAAATAATCAAGGAAATTTTACCTCTCACCAGGCCAGGTTTTCACATCATCCTGCAGTACATGCTCTGTTTTTAAGTACTGTTTGCAGGTGTGGATAACGGATCCTGAAGTAAATATGATAATTTTCTTTTCACATCAATAATGCCCTTCATCTCGCAGTGCCCCAAATTTCTTTAAAATCTTGATGTGCAAAATCACTTTGCTGCACCTCAGTGGTAAGTGGTCTCCTGTGTGAAATTCAGCAGCTGTTGGATCATCCACGGCACCATTTCCCAACGATTCCTGTCAGGATGAGGAGGAGGAAGTTGGCAGTCAAATGCTGAGGAGCAGAAAGCAATTTCCTGGGCTGGTACCGAGCAGGGGCACAGGCATTCCAGCAAAAACTGTAATCAGCTTCCCCTCTTCCTTGGCAGGAGAGTGGGGGGACATTGGGCTGGGACGTGGGGCTGGCTCAGGGTGAAGACCTGGCACACCCAGCAGCTCACACTGGTGGTGGGACACAGTGTC